GAGTTAATCACTGCCACAGATAGCAATTTATACCCCCACTAGATAAAGTACAGGCTTGTAAGGATGCACACAAAAGAAAAGATAAAATAACTGTGTTTATTCTTATCAATTTATCTGGCCACGACACGTCTGTTTCATATAACAACTCTGCCATTTATACACCAAATAACAAAAACATATAGCTACATAACTAAATATAACAAAACCAAACTACAACATACAGTTCTATTAAATAAAGACACAATAAACCTGCAAATATTAGTCGTAAAACCAAGCACACCTGCTTAAGCGCATGATTGTGTTTGATTAACAACCATGAGCCTTTCTGAATGTAGCAAACGATTTCAGTTCATACAGAGTTAAAAATCATAAAACCAACATTTAATTTTGGTGGAGGCGGGAGCTGGAAAAGCCCCCATCTGGTCAACACTTTGACCACTATTCACCTTTTCACTGATTAAAATGGATACTTTTAAAAATCACAGCGTTCACTATAAGCAGCATTTCTACAGGAGTCTCCACACACAATCAACAACTCGGCCAAACCTCACGTAAATCCCTCTTCCGCTTTTATATTCATGACGTGTCAAGGTGCAAAATAATTGGATGCCGAGGACATGCCCCCCAACCCATCAGCTGACCCATTTCGTTCACACGGAAGACTGATAAAAATCACATAAAGTCCCCCCCCCCAAAAAAAAACCAAACAAACATAATACATCCATCCACCATAACCCTTTACAATATATTATCAAAGAAAATGATACACTTGGCAATGAGCAGGAGTGAGAGAAGAGTGAACAGCTCACTCTGTAAAGAAATGATATCCATTTTGCACATCTCCCAGGTGCTGGAGGAGTAAGCCCATCTCTGGTGGCAGATGCCATGATAAATACTGTGGTAGACTTTGAGAAGATCAAGAAGGGACAGTCTCTGAAGTGTGTGAAGATCGTAGTTTTCCAAGCAGGGATGATGGCCGACTTTCACAGGAGCCTGAAGACGAAAGAAGGCACAGATCAGCCAGAGGAGAACAGTATATTCTCAAGAATAAAAGGTATCAGAGGATCACAGACATATTTAGTGTCTTATCACTTAGACTCACTAAAATGTACTTTTAAATGCAAAATGTTCTTCCATGTTCCTTGTCTGCCTTTAGCAACTGACAGAAAATCCATTTTTAATGCAGAATGATTAGGTTAATAAACACACTTCTATTATTTGAAAATGTTGTAAAAGTCTTATAGTTTGTACATTTCCATTTATACTTTATTATTTCTCCGTTCATAACTTTCCATTTGTTATCAAACAGACACAATTACTAATGTGTTTGGAGGTATCAGTGTTCCACCTGAAGTCGAGGAAGATTTCACCATAGTAGGAGAAAAGTTCGCTCCAGCCATATTTCAGTTTTGCGGAGAGAGCCACGAGGAGGTGTCCAAGGCCAAGAAGTATGTCCAGGACCTCATCATGAAAGAACAAATGGAACATACCATCAAGGACAGTTGTATCGGCTTATTCACTCAGGAGGACTGTCGGAAGCTTCTGGTCCTGCAGAAGAAGTTGACAGTGAGCATTCATCTAGAGAAGCGAGGTGCTGACTCCGTCATCCAACTAGAGGGCCTCTCCAGAGATGTTTTGACAGCCAATGATAGTATTAAGGAAATGATGCGCAAGGTGGAGAGTTTGGACAGACGCAAGCGTGAAGCAGCCCTTGTGGGTGCCATGGTGGAGTGGCAGCATGACTCTTCCGGAACATTCCTTTCTTTTGACTCCTTCACCAATCTTATCCTTGAACAGGCCTTTGATAGCCGTTGTACTAAAGTTAAAATAAACATCAATAATTTGGAATATATGGCTGATTTAACTTCTATGGAAGCTGTCAGTGGAAGACAAATTGTCAAGCTCAAAAGAAAAGAAAAGAAAGGTAATTTGCTTTAGTATAGATTGTGTGTAATTGTACATTTAATAGTGGTCAAAGTAATTTTGTTGCTCTAGACGAATGCAAGTCCAGCTGAACATTGACTAAGGAGCCTGTGCAGAACTTCTCTAAAGACAAGAGATACAAACAATGCAGTTTACATTTTACATTCCTTTTTTCTTCATCAGTTGTGGAAGGTCTTCTGGGTGATTGGGATGACATGAAAGGTTATGAACTGCTTGAAGTGACCCTGGGAACCAGCTCTACAGAATACCAACAAGTAGAGGCCGAATTCAGGAAGACCGGTCTAAGCAACCAGATTATTAAGGTACTACCAGGTCACACTGAGCAGCTGATATCCAAGTACCAACAATGACTATCTTACTAGATATTCCAGCTCCAGTCATAATTATTTGTTACACAGTCATGTTTATTCATTTTGTAGATAGGCTTATCAAAAGTCAATCAATTACACATAATGGTCATTGACATAATTGATTCAGTAAATATTAAATTTATTGTGCTTATGGTTTATTACATGTACTTTGTTCAAATTGGATGAGAAGTTACAGTAAGACAGTGCTGGTAACCTGCATGAGTTCGTGTTTCATGACACACATGGTTTTGAGTCTCTTCGTAATGAAGGGGTTACATTTTTTAAACCAGAGTACTGGGTTTTGAGTGTGATACAGTCTTCAGATCTGGGAGAACAAGATCTAATTTAAGGAGATCATGAGGGTGAAAAAAGAACATTTTGGGAGGAATAGATTTACTTTGTAGTGGCCGGCTTGGTCCAGCAGCTTGGTTTCCAGGTCTGTGAGCCAGAGATGGATATTATAGATGTCGAATGGGATGATTTTGTTGGACTAGATTTTCAGATGAAACACAAGGTTAATACTGGAAATCATAATGACTATAACTGCTTCATTGGAGACGCATGGAAGTGCTGTACAGTATGTCTTCACAAACCAGTCATCTTCTGAGAAGATGGTCTTCTGAGCTTAGGGAGGTGGGATGTATAGAAACAGGCACCAATCCCTCATTAGCATGAAATTGTTTTCTATGTCTGCAGATTGTAAGGATCCAGAATAACACACTCTGGAAAAACTACCAGATCAAGAAGGATGGTATGGACAAGAAGAACAAACACAGCAATAATGAGAGATGGCTTTTCCATGGGACATGTGCAACTACCATCTCTCACATCAATAGCCAGGGTTTCAATCGCAGTTATGCTGGCAAAAATGGTAAGTGAATCTCCTTTTGTTCTTATTTGTTAATGTCTAGCTACAACACGTGATGGAAAAGACCAAAATAGGTATTGTAATAAACACCTTGGGTTTTGGCAGAGGTTCTGATAGTGCCAGTAATTGTGTTTCAGGGATATAGCACTATTTTTCAAACAATTATATGGATTATTATTTTTTATTATTTGGAAAGTCCTTCTGCTCCAGAATCTATGATAGCTGTTCAGGTTGAGATCCGTTGACTGGAGTGATTATGACTAAATGTTGTGTTCATGCTTCGAAAATCGTTCAGTAGCAACGTGTGTTCAATGTTTGGAACAGTGGGCATCCTAGTTTGAATTTTTCCCTGATTGTCACGTTTCAGTGTAATTTTATTAGTGTAAATGAAATGAAATTCTGTGAATCATAAATAACGTCTGTAATAACTAGGGCTGACTCGATTAATCGAAAGTCGATGATGTCGATGACATCAATATTTAAAAAAATTATTTTAATGAAATTACAATCATGAGTTCTAAGACACTTCACTTCATTATGACAAATGTTTTGCTTTTAATATAACAACGTAATTATTCTTAGAAGTTCAAATGATCACAAAGCACAATGGTGGTTTTGCACTGTGTAAATTTCGATGACATACTACACGGGTACCAGCATTACGCACAAGAAAGAGAAACACAGGCGCTATTGTGGACCACCAGGATAAGTGAAACCCCTGTATGTGGTGCCTATTTATAAGTATTAAGTTACAATTAGTACGGTGAGCTTTTAAATGTTCTTTGTCCTTGTAGTAAATACACCCGTTATTGAAGTGGAATCTCCATTGAATAAGTGTTTGAGAAAATGTTTAGGCTAAAATCTGGCCTGCTTCTACATGGATTGACAGTGCCAGTGTGTCTTCTTAGCATTGGGCTTGTTGGGACCAGTGTTATGCCACGTTCCATTTACCTCAGAGGCTGGAATTCGGAACTGGTAATGACATCACACACGAATTAAACGCGTTCCAGTACCAAGTCATAAAGCCATTTAACAATCCCAGGAACCCTTTTAGAAAAAAGCAAGATTTCTTGCTTTGCTGGACAACTTGTTGGATTTAAGATACCTCCCTTTAAATGGGCTTTATCTTCGTTCACTTACATTTAGCCCGGAATACCTTAAATCCGACAAATAATTACATAATGCAGCATTTATTG